TTGAAGAACCTTTTGAAGCACCTTTATTTTTAAGAGTGTAGTGGCCACCATTTTTTTTTTTCATTAACCTATTAATTTTCTATTTTATTGTCTGTGAAACTTGTTCAGTTTGTCGTTGTTGAATCTCTCTTATGCTCATGCAAATATTTGCATATGTGAATAAAATTTCTGGAAATAAAAGCAGCTGAAAGTGAGATGTTTCTATCTTTCTTTCTTTCTGAGGGAACTCATGGGAAATCAGCCCACAGGTTTGTTGTACATGAATCAAATCTGAAAGTGTTAAGCAATACCCCACATAGGCTAAAGCTACTCTATTTCCAAATAGACCAAAGAAGCCCACTTTATAATATTGCATATGATGTACCCTGTTAATTTCGCATTTTCCATAGACGCCAATGATATTACTTGTATGTTTTGTGGTCACAAAGATGAAACTTTAATAGCTTACATTCATTCTATTCTTTTGAATTGGTTCAGAAATGTACATTCCCATTTTAATAAACCACATATTATGAAACATATTATGCTTGGCAAATTTTTCATCCATAAAGAAAAAATCTATAGGATTACTTCCTACTCTTTCACATTTTTCGATTGAGGTAGACTCACTGCAAGGCTTTTTTTGTTTATAGCAATAACAAATGTAATAGATTCCTGAAATAATATAGACTCTTCATTAGGTTCAACCAGCTTGCTTCATTTATTTGCCATAGAAAATGTTATTCGTTGAGCAAGCGTTAAGCAGCAACCAGCTGCGGTTCATCCTCCAAACCGCTCGGTGGCGATCGCATACATAAATGCACTCGTTTAAAAAAACACTCGCGCGGCGGTTGTGGGTAATATTCATGGCGGAGTTCTGAATCTGAAGTGGAGAGATTACACCTTCTACTTTTCTCTCTGGATATTCAAATAGGGGAATTAACTTACATCTTTACTTCTTGTAAAAGTAAATTAACGTCCATACATTTGAAGGAATGGCTGAAACAGGCTCAGGTGAGCGGAGTTTGTAATATTCAGTCAGTCTGATAAACACTGCAGCTGTTATTGAGCGCCACCGGGACTGTAAACAGATGATTTTCACCAACAGATACTTATTTAGTAGTTATATTCGTATACACGTATCTTATTAGTTTAAAAATTAGCAACTTGGGCAATAATGAGTAAAGAGACCCAAATAGATAGCTAACTGCGATGAATGAACTGGCCTAATGCTGATTGTAACGTTACATGCAATACATTGTCAATTAGGTTTGTGTAATTTGTTTATGCTGCGAGGAATGCTTTTAAACATATTAAGAGTTTCGTTTTTTGACAATTAGCCTAGGTTGTTGAATTCATTTTCTTTTTAGCTACAATCACAAAGGTCAAAGTATAAAGTATATTTACTGTAAAAGTGTAGCTAAATCTGTTGAAGGTGTAGTTTCCAGTCATATATGGTGGTCAATGCTGTCAGTAGGTACAGCATGATTTGAGTCCCGCATCTGTCACTTTACTGCATCTGTTCCCTCTCAAGATCAAGCTGGTGACATGAAACATGACAGCATTTCCTCCCCTGGGGTCTCGGATCAGGCGAAGGAGACGGCATCCAATGCTTTTGAGGCTTTCAAGGTAAATCACTATAATCTGAGCAGGCGACTGTATCCGTGGTTGTTTCCGGAGGTCATTGTTGACGATATAATGTGATGTTTCTTTAGGCTGGAAGCTATGACGAGTCCCTGAAACACCTTGGCAGCCTTCAGGAGCTTAACAAAGAGGACTACAAGATTACACTGAATAAAGCGATCACTGAGTTTTATAAAAGTGGGCAGACAACAACCAGCACCCTGAAGCAGACGTTAATGACCTTGAAGAATCAGGTTTGATGTTTCATATGGCATCCTTCTCATTATTCTAAGCCATGTCGTTAGAGGACTGATGCTAATTGATCGTTGTTTGCAGATGCACACAGCTGTGGATGATATTGACGGTTTGGATGATGTTGAGAACAGTATCCTCTATTACAATCAAGCGGTGATTCATTACCACATGCGACAGTATTCAGAAGCTATATCCATCGGGGAGAAGCTCTACCAGTTTCTTGAACCTTTTGGTATGTTTCAGGATGCAAATGAAAAGTTCTTGCATAGTGTTGAGCAATTAGTTTTTTTGCACCTGGACTAGCACCAAACGTATTAAGTGTTTTAATAGTGTGGCATGGCTTGATGGGTTTCTCTGTCCTAGAAGAAAAGTTTGCTCAGGCCATTTGTTTCTTGTTGGTGGATCTATACCTGCTCACCTTCCAGCCAGAGAAGGCACTGCACCTGTTGGCTGTGCTGGAGAAGCTCACTGTGAAGGATGGGAACAGCAAAAATGGCAAAGGAGAGGTGAGAGCTATTTGGCTCTTACAAATAATTTTTATTTTTGATTGTTTTACCCTGTCTCACTTGTTCTCACTAGAATTGTTGAAGTGTTGTTACAGGTGTTATTACATCTTGCACAAAACTTGCACAAAGTGCATTTTAACCACTGCAAAATCACTGTATTTTTATCCGTCATTGTTATCTTAAAAAAAAAAAAAACGATGTATTGTTGCTATATCTCTATTAGCATTATTTACCATGAGAATGTTATGTAATGTACCAAATTTACTTCCTTTCAAAAGTTTGGGGTCAGTAAGATTTTTTATGTATTTATTTTATTTATTTATTATTTTATTTTTTTACGCTTGTTTTTGGAAAAAAGCATCTTATGCTCAGTAAGGCTATTTATTTGATCAAACAAACAGTAAAACCCTAAATATTAATAAATAATATTATTGCAATTTAAAATAACAATTTTCTATTTTAATATATTTCAAAATGTAATGTATTCCATCTCCAGTCTTCAAGATCTTCATATGCTTCACATCCTTCAGAAATCATTCTAATATACTGACTTAGTACTGAAGAAACATGTCAGTGATGAAAACCGTATTTTGAATTTTTTTTAAACCATATTTTATTTCCGGAGTTAATAAGGAACAAAGTTCAAAGAACATAATTTCTCTTAAATAAAAAAAGAGTGTTTGTTTATTGGTTTTCCCCCAATAAACTTCTAATTTGCTGCATATTGATAGAAAGTACAGTAGCTGTCGTAGTAGCTGTATGTTTAGGAGTTTGGGTCAGATTAGGGGATCCAGAATATGAATTAATATGTGCAGAATAAGGCATTAATATGTAGTTTATAAGTACGGAAAAACAGCCATTATGCTAGTAATATGCATGCTAGAAAGCAGCTAGT